ACACAACTGATCAGCCTTGAGGCCAGACATGTACCGGAACCCCTGAAAGCCTAATGCTTTCGTGATACAGCAAGCAGTGCTTGATGAACAATTGATGAGTGGCTGCGCGATGGATTACCAAGTGTGTGTGTGTGTGCGTGAGTGTGTGTGTGTGTCTGTGTGTGTCTGTGTGTGCTGCGTGTCTGTCTGTCATAGATAGGAAAGCACCTGGCCAGGAAGCCTATCGCGTGAAGGAGAATGTGGATTACTTCTCTGTTTCGCACTTCGGCAGCAAGCTTCCCTGCATGCATGTCTTCGAGTTGGGTGGGTCTTGGAAGGTGTTGCGGACGAGCGGTATTGTGGACTTTGGAACTAGATCCGACGATTTGGTAATTGTGTCGTTCATCTGGAGAGCACTGCAAAGAGTCCTTCTCGTGCTGTGGCTCAGTTCAGAGGAATGGCATGTGGACACCAGCCGTCATCATATCCCGTGGGAAATTTGACGAGGCCGGGTTCACGAAGCGTTCATGGATGCAGCTATCACTGTCTAGGTGGCTTCTCAGTTTACAGTTTTTTTCAGGATGGAATCCCTGTGTATGATATCCGAGTTCATGGGAGCCGGCAGACGCGCACCTCGGCTGACCATGTAGCTCATGCTCTCCGTGTCTCCGAGTGTCAGATGAAGGGCTTGTGCCCAGATGCAAAGCCATGGGACATGCTTGCGGCAGAAAGCCAGTCTAGTGCCCCGGAAAGTGAAAGGCAGCCTGGTCCCGATGACCTTGCTGCGGCCGGAGCTCCTTCCACGGGAGCCTATCAGCTCCACGCCTGCATTGCCGAGGCATTTTTCGGTGTCCTTTCTTTGCGGCATCACAGGATAAATCAAAGAGGCCCCGCCTGCGGACAGGGACTCACTTCGTCAGATCGCATCCACCGGACCTTAGGTTTCTATTCCAACACGACTTGCGCGTGGGAACATGGGGAGATCGAAGGCATTGTGGGCGCCCACATGTCACTTGGCCAGACTTGGGTCATGCCCCAACAAAGGCTCCTTGGTCTTACTTTTCCTGTCGTCGTGGCAGTTGCTGTTCATGTTGCGGATTTGGTTGTTGCGTCATCTCCGTCGAATATCTTGGTGGTGCGGGCTGTACCCACCACCGCCGCCACCCCCACCACCCCCACCACCCCCACCACCCCCACCACCACCCCCACCACCCCCACCACCACCACCACCACCACCACCCCCACCACCACCACCGCCACCACCACCACCACCACCTTGCAGGAAGCATGGACATGGCATACCAAAAGGTGTATTGTGCATCCGAGCCTGTGCTCGAGTCGAGTCGGAAAGTTCACCCAAGGCTCGGCTATTCCGTGCTTCTCCCCAAGGAGCAAACTCAGACCATGCCTGCACGACTCAGGTGGGAATCTGCTTGAGCTCTGATGCAGTTTTGCACGTGTACTGAAACGATTGAAGCTGAGATGTTCTTTACATATTCTGGCTCCGAGTCTGAAGCAACATGAGACCCGTACCCGGACCCCTCTGCATAAGAGCTGGATGGTGAAGGCCTTCAAGTTTCGTTACCCTGCGAATCGATAGGCATAGCACCAGACCCTTGGTCTGGGTAGTGACAGGGGTGACCGAACCTCCAACCAGGTCCCAGGTAACCTGTGAGGCCTCGTCCTTCCGCGATTCCAGGCGTCGGTTCCTGGCCAAGGATCCACAGCTTGTGTACCAGGGTCCGCGTGGAACCCTGGCTTGGGTTTGGAGGGCTTCCACGCTTTTCTCGCCCTCGACTCTTGAGGCTACAAGGTTGGATCGAGGCGACACTGCTCGAGGCAGGGCCTCAGAACAGGCACATCGCCTCATGTCATCCTTGGGCAGGATGCTGAGGAACTGAGCGATGATGTTCCTGGTCGGCGCGATGAACAGAAAGTCGTGGACCCAACACTCGGGATTTCTTTGCATTAAGGAATGCCTCTCCATACTACCCATGCATTGGCATGCGGCCTGTACAAAGTATTGATGCAGAGTTGAAGCGTTCTTCAGCACAACTTTGGGTGCCTGTCTGCTACAGTTTTGCTCGTCTTCTCCTGGCTGCAAAAATGCTGCCGAGGCGCCGAAGGCAGGGACCAAGGCCGAGGGAGATTGAAATGGGGATTAACAGTGTCAGTGGTGGATGGGCATTTGGCGACTTGAAGCCGTCTCCGGCAGCTTCGAAGTCCAACTTCAGCCGACACACCTCCACCAGGGTCCATGAGGGCGCTCGCGCTCCCTAGCTAGGAGCAGACTGATGATGCGAAGGCAGTCAAGAAGGCGGGGGCGAGCTAAGGGAGCGGAAGAATGCCTGATGCTTGTGCGAATCACCGTAAACACAGGTATAACCCGTCTAGCTTATCCCAGAACACCTTCAGTCCGTCTGCGTTTAAGTCAGAAGCCTTTGCTGCCAGTCCGCTTCCAGCTTGCCGAAGCTGCCGGAGGCCTGGAATTCTGAAAAGAGTTGACTTTAAGGTTAAGGGTTACTGTAAGGGTTGTTAAATGTAACTATAAGACTATAACTACAAGGGTTTTCTCAGAAGTTGTTTTTGACATGTCTTGCCTGTGGACTCGCCTCTGCCAGAAGCGAACTGAAGTGGATTCGCCGGAGGTGCGGCACACAGTGGGTTTGGGTCTGGCAGATGCAGTCGAAGTCTGGAGTATGAAGGGTTTAGGTCCTATTCTTGGGTTAGTCCTTGAAGTTTGGCGCCTATTCTGGGCTGGTCTTTATGGTTTAAGGCCGACGCTGGCTTAGGCTTAGTCTTCAAAGTTTAGCTAATGGGGCTGGTCTGCAGGGTTCGCACTCTGCTTGGTGAGCAAATGTGAATCACTGTCTGTTTCTCTGAGCTTTGAAGCCTTGGTCTTGAGAACATCATGTGCATACCGTTGCCATTCAGGGCCCTTGAGTCATGCAGATTAGCTTCGCAGTGCATTGGGAAAAGACCGCCAGATTTAGGTTTTGCGGCAAAGCAGTTCGACAAAAGCGGGAATGACGTACTTATTGACGATATTGACGTCACTGACAATACCAATAAGACAACATACATAGGCGTTCAGACGAACCGGAAGCACTCGGATCTAGTAGATCGAGGTGAAGAACGATAGCTGCGTTCCGTGGTAGGCAGTCTTTCGTGGATATCTAGGCAGCCAAGCCCAGATATACTGTACCGTATATCGACGCTCCAGAGCACGATAAAGGGTGCTACCAGAAGCAAGCAAGGTGTTGGAGTTAGCACTTAAGTATTAAGGGTGAGGATGCGACGTTTCAGGCAGAAACGTACGCACTACAGAACGGGCAGGAAGCTGGAGATAGAATTCGAGCTGTACTGGCCGAAATTTACGGCGTCGGATCCCAAGGGACCGAGTGGGAGACGCTTGAAGAAGCAAGGGGCGTCAGCTTCATAGATTGTATAAGCTTACCCGGCCATCTGAACTCCGACGTGCCCCTGCGGGTTCAAGATAAGCGACTACAAATCGAGCTAAGCGCCTTGCGTCAATCTATCTCACACAAGATGGCAATAGCACTTGTATTGTCTACCCCGGTGGAGGAGACCGTGTCTACGCCAGCCCGAAATCAATGAAACCGGACTTTATCATCCGATTGATTGAGTCTGGTGTGCACAACGTCGGTAGGGCTAAGAAGTGTAGTATCGCAGACACTGGATAAGACGACCATATGGTTCATGTACGGATCACATCAGTTGGATAAGCCGCAGATACCACTTGCAGGATGATACTACCAAGCCGGAGTATCACGGGGTAGCCTGTATAGCATTTTCTACGTTCAATACAAGAAAACAAGTTGACTGTGAATCATTCATTGTCTTTTTCTCTCAGCTTTGAAGCCTTGGTCTTGAGAACATCATGTACATACCGTTGCCATTCAGGGCCCTTGAGTCATGCAGATTAGCTTCGCAGTGCATTGGGAAAAGACCGCCAAGTTCAAAACAATCTTCGCATTTTGTTGATGTTATGGGGGACTTGTGATTTTTTCGCCGAGCTAATCGTGAATCCTAATCGTGAACCTTAGGTGATGCTCAAGCTCCGTCTGAAGACCAGCGATCCCGAGAACGGTGCCGAAGTCGTGGAGGTTCCCTCGGGGCGAGTCCGCCACTGGGCCAGCTCAGCCGGGTCTTTGCAAGGATTGCCACAAGGGTACGACAGCTATCGAATAGGGGGAAGTCCGGGTGAGGTTGTGAGCAAGTTCGGGAGACCGTGAGCCGAGCGGGCGGAGCTCAGGTTTCAGCAGCGTGGGTGAGACGGATCGAAGCTCGCAATAGCGCCTGGCGCCACTGTAGACTACGCTCGTTGCGCGACTGCGAAGAGTCCGGCAGTGTACAGCGCCCCTGCCTTAGGTAATGCCCGGTTTGAAATTCCGTGGTTTCGTTTTCCCCCTTTGCTTTTACCCCCTTTGTTTCGTCTTGAAAGCTGCCTAGCGGGGTGCCAAGCCCCCGGCCTGCAGCTTCAGAAGCTCCGTTGGTCCTGCTCAAACGGGCTTAGATTGATTAGATGGGTGGATCAGGGCATGTTGGCAAGAGCTTCGGAAGACACCAACGTTTGCGCCCTCAGTAAGCGCTTTTCAGGACTTGTGGTTGAGTATTGAGATCCCTGTCACGCCAACAAGTCATAACGAATAACGAGTCTAAGTGCGACTCTGAGATTTTTATGGGGATGCTAGTGGGGTAGCTGAAGGTTCGTTGCATTGAAGCATCTGCTGGGTAAGTTTGAGGTCGTTTGAGAAGTCCAGGACCGGGTGCTTCCTGTGTTGCGTTTGACTGCGGCACAAGTGCTTTGGACAGTTCCTAACACCATGTGAGCTCTGCAAAGCAGAGTCGTCATGTCGGGTCTTAAAGGCGAAGGGAAATGTTGCCACTGTCGAAGCTCGTGGCTTGCGCTTTCGGACTGCGGGACTCCCTCTCAGTGCCTCTCAGCAAACAAGCCCACTCCACCTACATCGTGAGCCCCCGGGGGCTGGCCACTTCGGCCAGCTCGTTTGCTGCAATTTGGCTGGAGCACGTACGAGCGACATGCAGCAATCTTGACTTCGTCGACCGTGCTCTTCGCATGGGCCGCCTGCATATAAGTCAATATATGTGCAAAATCAGAATCGCACATATCTTCGCAGACCATACCGGCGCAAGCAATTCCAGCCAAAGATCCAATCACGGAATGTACGTCACGAACGCCCTTGTCGATGGGCGCAATGACATGAGCTTCGGTCCCTCCCCTGTCTGTACAAATGCGAGGCCGGACCCTGCACGCACCGCACGTTCCGACATTGGGCCTGGCTCAGGCTCGCAGCCTGTTGTCACGATCTCGGAAGTGGGAGCCTGAGAGACCTGCCGGGCGAGGCCCAGAGTAGTTGTTAGTGCCACAGGTCTTCCAGTCCTACGAGGCACCGACACTGTCCGCTGTCTACATCTCCCGTAACTGGGCCATGTCCGAGCTGGCTGCAGGAAGACTACAAGCAGTTGTCAACAGCTCAGAGGGACTGCATAGATTTAGCTACCTGTCGTTATTGCGGTGTCGGTCCGACTTAGTGGGTTGAATCGGGTTAGGAAGTACAGAAGTAAAGTATCTGAGCCCCACCTTTGGCAGACTGTCGACGTGTCTGACCTTCAAGGATTCAGCAGCTGCGCACCCTGGCCTCGGTGGTCGAAGGAATGCTGCTATGGGCTTCAAGCACCTACCGTTTCACGATTTTTCACGACTGAGGAACTCGGGAGTTTCGGGTAGCTTCCAGAAAAATGGGTCAATGTGGGCCATGTGCGACAACTCCGAAGCCGCAGGCGCCGGCCCGCCGCAGGAGCGCTGCGCCGCGGGGTGCCAGCCCCAGGAAGCAAAATGAGACCGGGGCTTCGGCTGAGAAAAAGGGTGATGTGGCCAGCGGCCGTCATGCCAGGCAAGAGATGGTTGAGGCGCAGGAGCGCGCAGCACAGGCTGGGCCGGTGACTGCAAGAAGCCTTTTGTAGCTTCCAGTCTCATACCCGTGAGATTGGCCCTCTGTGCACAAGGCCTTTCAGCAAATGGAGTTCGAGGTGAAGTCCATGGGCTCGCTTGGCGCCGATTCCTCAGCAATTTTGGGCCTGCTAAGGCGCTATGTTCGAACGCTGGGCTCGGGAACTCCTATTCTGAACTTAGGGCTTTTGGACTCCGGCTCCACTCCTGTCTGGAAAGCAGAACACTAATTACTAATTTATAGTTGTAACACTCATATTGCAAATCCACCGTCAGCAACCTTACATAGTTCTTTCTTGTAGCGCTGATAGAACGTTTTGTTGCACCCTTGACAGAACCATTGTTGAGAGCCTTTCCCTCCGCCGTTGAGGCGGCCCTCTCTGGAAAACTGTCTGGTCCTCGGGCATCTTCAGAAGGAGTCAGCAATAATCATGAACAATCAACGTAACCGCAGTAATCGTAGTCATAGAGGAAGAGTAATTGGAGTACTGATAAATTACATCAGCAACATGTCATACAGCTGTTCGTGATAAGAGGACATCTCCATCGTTCGCATCTTGGAAGTTTGGAAGTGTCGCCCATTGATAAGCAGGGTTTATGGAGCACTTTAGTCCAGCAGGGAGAGTCGCACATTCGGCCGAGGAAGGAGTACAAGCAGGAGTTGCTGGCCAGCAGGACTCCCTCGGCAGCATTCCGCCTGTCCTCACTTACAGGGATGTTAACCACCAACTTGGTGAAGGCCTCGCTTTGCATGAAGCGAAAAGATCCCCGCCCGACGCCCAAGCCCTTCCTGGACGGCGAGCAAGAAAAGCTTTGAAGATGCTTGAAGCCATGGCTGCAGAGCGGGAAAAGTGAGACCAGTGCCTGGCTAGTTGGAGTGCCCCTGTTACGGCGTGAACACACCAAGCAACTCTTGTACCGCAGCACACTGGGGATGCAGCCCTGCTCGGCTGACATGCCGCGGGTCCTTGCTGCACAGCTTCCGAGCAGGGGCGCCGTGAGGCAGGGGCATTCGCGGCTTGGATGGAAGTGTGCAGAGCCTGCCAGTTGGGCTGCCCTTCCATTGGCAGCATACCCTTTTCCTCGGCCTTGGCCCTGTCTGCTCCGACGAAGAGGGGTTCCTCGCTCCGCCTCTCCTGGCCGACGGGAGGTGCTGAACAAAGTACTTGATTTGGGGCTCCAGGGCCTCTTGGCCCTGAGCACGGTGGCGCTCTTCTTCATTTGGGCTGGGAGCACGGCCTTCCAACGCGGGCTGGTAGAGCTGTCTGTGCAGCTCTTTGATGCAGCATCCTCTGTGGGCTACCCATCCGCTTTGCTTTGGCAGCGGGGCATCTCTTTGTACTACGCAGGCCGCTACGAAGACGGGGCGGCACAGTTTCGCAAGGACGCGGATGTTAATTCCAGCGACACGGAGGAGGCGGTCTGGGCCATGTTGTGCGAAGCGCAAACATTTGGCTTTGCTTCAGCCCAGCAGCGGATGTTGCTCAGCTTTGACCGAGCCCGGTGAAGCGTTCGAGACATAATGTGGGAGCCTAACGAAGAACCCCCCAGAAAGAGCTAAAGTCCATAGCTGTAGTTCCATAGTTGCAGCATTGTAGCTGACTGAGGATGAGGGTCGGAAAGGACCCCAGGTCCATCATGCGGCTCGTGTCGGAGCTTTTCGAAGGCGCCGTGGATGCGAAGCGCCAACTGGAAGCCATGGCATCTGTGTCACCTGGGGACAAAGACTCTTTCTATTCGGCGCTGTACTTGGGTCTTTTCGAGGAGTCACAAGGTCGCTTGGATTTTTTGGAAGCTTTTTTCTTTGTGATTCTGTTAGGAAGCTTTTCCCGACCTTGCCACGAGTTGTCACCTCGAGGCCTTTGCGAGCTTCCGACATGTAGCGAGCCGTGCATAACTCAGGACACGACGATACATCCCTGCAATGGATCCGACGTTCACTTGACACCCGTTACGCTGAAGGCAGCTTCGATTACATGGTCGATGTAGCTCGAGTGCACTTAAGCCAAAGAACGCTGATGTGATCGTGTGGGCGAAGGGAGAAAAAGTGCACAGCGGCACAGCTGTCGGTCGTCCCTCTTGGGACAGCTTTACCGAAAAGCCTTGCAAGAAATCGGATGAGGACCTTGGTTCGCAACGTGCAAGCGAGGCTGAACCGAGAAGGCCGTGTCAGTGCTGCACAGCCGGGCTGTTGTCTACCAAAAGGGTCCTGCGAAGGCTTGCTGCGCGGCTCGGCGAACCTTGATGAGAAGGCACCCGCAAAGCTTTTTTTGGGGAGCCAGGGCGGGCAATGCTAGTCACGCTTTCGTGTCTATCGCCATCAATCGCTGCATCCATTCAACAAACAGGGGTGCAAACAAACTGCTAATGCTTGAGGCTGCGGGCTCGCATCTTTGATAGGAATGCAATGTTCCGGTCTGGTTCAAAACGCAATGCGGAAAACCTCCAAGCTCAAGAGGGCCGCAGTTGGTTTTGGCAGATCCATTGGCTCAGGCCTAGGACATGAACGCCACCAGAACCCAGGCGCAGCGAGATTCGGCACAGCGGCTGAGGGCCGGTGCCCGCCGCCTGGAGGCCGGGCCTGTAACACAATCGGGGGCCGACACTGTCGCGGCGAAGTGCTGTTTCTCGCTTTTTCTCACTTGTGGCTACTTGTGGTGGACTCTGATTCTGATGCTTGCCATAGAGAGGAGCCGAGAAGAAGTCTGCGCCATGCTTGTCGTCAGGACTCCCGACGGACGGCTTTGGAGGCTTTCGTGGCACTTGGGGAGGAAATTTTCTAGAGATTTTAGGGGATCCTGTCTGCAACGCATTATGATGCATGGTTCAGCTGGAAGGAACATGCGAATGCTCTATACTCTCCAGGCCGAGAGCATTGGCATGGATGTGATGTCCGAGCTCACCGACCAGCGGGATGCACTCAAGCGGACGAAGGTGCGGACTCAGCCGTCCAGTAGAAGTGGGCCATCCGGGAATCAGGACCTGCAGCAATGCAGTTCGATGACATTGGACAGATTGTCGTAATACGATTTTTCGTGTATTATGGTCATGTTGTGCCGTTCTTATTGCTCGCAGGGTGATGGTGATTCCGAAATTGCTGGGCTTGTTTGGTTTTGCCAAGGTAAGTGCGGAACGATCCAGTAGCTTACGTTCTTCATTCATGTGTATGTAAAACTGCTGTCTAGCACAGAGCATGAAATTCAGAAGCCACATTTTGCTGCATCAGCAGCAATACTGATGGTGGCAATACGAGTGCAGGCAATACTGGTCTAGTGATGGGAGTAGTGCAAGGGTGAGAGCAGTGAGTAAGGGCCATGGTATGGCTAAGGTTGATGGGCCGATGGCAGAAAGACCAAGAATGAACGCCCGCCAGCCCTACCAGCATCATCAACATTTTGTCAAGAACTAGCCTCCGCCGTGCGCAAGGCGGGCACCCCAATCTTGGAACAGTTTTCGTGGCAAACACCTTGGTGCTTCCGCTTGGACGGCACCGAATTCCCAGCCTTGTCCTTCTTGTTGCCTGCTGGCACACGTCACTTGTTGTGCCAGGGCCATCTGCATGATGTCGACGATCACCTTGGTACGTCCAAGATGTTCTTGTCGACGATGTCCCGACGCATCCAGGGCAATCAGGCAACTGGGCATGCTGCTTGAGGTGCACTCTCGTTGCAACTGGTGTGAATTCTCAACTCGACAATGCTTCGGAGAGACATAGGCCTATCATGCTTCGCTAATCTATTTGGAAGGCCATGGTGTGGTGCTTGGCAATCGTCCTGTTCATAATTCTGGCTGCATGTTGGCATTTTGGAAGATCCCATGAGCAGTTTCCACGCGTCGTAGAGGATCTCGTGTTATCGATCTGCATTGCCTGGGGTGCCGAATGAGCCGAGGTTTGTCTTATTTACTTGAAGCTGCAGAAGCTCGTGGCTGCTTTTAGATAGATGAGGCGGATGCATGGCAAAGCCTCAGCACCGCGGTGAGAATGTGTAGATTTGTGCTTGGGCCACTTCGGCTGCACAAGAACGCAGACAGGCAAAGAGAAAGGAGCGGAGGCAATCTTTAGAGATGGGTGCAGGTGCTGCAGGGGTGCGTGCCTTCTCCACTGTGTTGAGAATGGCGGAGAGTTGGAGCGTTGGTTTCTTGGCAGCTCGGCTTAGGCCCAGGCAGGGGCGGCCGTCGGGGCATTCCGGCCGTTGCCATGGCCTGGAACGCTGCGGAAATCCGGGAATGGGCCACACGTGAGTGCCTTTCGAGGCGCATAGCGGCGAAGGCTGAAGAGCTTGAAGACTTGGGTGGTCTCAAGGCCATCACTGACAGCTGGCTATGTGCGAATGGAGTGACTCTTCTGCCAGCGCGCTCGCGCGCCCTGACGGCGGCGAAGGCGGCACTCCATCCAAAGAAGAAGGCCTTCAGGCTTGGCCGAAGGGGTGTCATGTTTCTCGAAGCCCAAGATGCGGAAGTTTTCCAGCGCCGTCGACCCGGCCGGCAGTGCCGGCAGCCCGAGATCACAGATCAAGTCTTGGAAGGCCGCCGGCCACACCGGCGTGTAAACCGCAACAAGAAGGAGTCTCGCCCTTTGAATGGTCTCCCACAGCGGATTGAGGAGGAGGAGACAGACGCGGAGCTGGGGACGGGCACTGCCGAGAGACCCACTGAGCCAGCAAGTAACCAAAAGTCATGTTTCACCAGCACTTCTGGCAGTGCTACACCACGTGTTCCGTCTTCGGAGACGTCGTTCTGGTGGACCTTGCTCTGCCGGACATTACAGGTCTTCACCCCCGAAATGGCGGTTCAAGGGCCAATGATGAACATGCTCGTATAGCGGCATTCTTGTGTCAAGCTGAATCTAGTCTTGACTCTGCACTGTTCTCTTGTGTCATCTTGCGTAGATTCTACTTTTGACAGCTCCACCTGGGAGTGTGTACCGACAGCCTTTGAAAGCTGCCGTTCCGTCGTCTCCATGACATCAGCCACTTTTGAAGAGGAAAAGGTTGGAGATGCGTTTTGGAGAAGGCACCATGTAGTTTGCATGTCAAGGCAGTCTATACGATCTGCAGCATTTGCAGAAACAACAATTTTGAGGGCTTTTTGCAGCATGGGGGCGCGGAAGGCCGGCAGTGGGACCTCTTTTTCAAAACACATCCGACATCGCCGACATCGCCTTCGCCGACCGAGGTGGGCCTGCTGGCTGCGGCGGGCGCGGTCTAGAGCTCGGATTTGTGAATTTGGCTGCCCGTTCCACTCCCAAACGTCACCCCACCTTGTTGCGGATGGTATGCTGCAGAAGTAGTTTTGGTTCTCCAAGGTTTTGCTTGCAGTGCTCTGTTCCGCGACAGGCTCGCATGCTTGTGTTTCGTCTCCTCGGATTCCTCGGATTGAGCACTTGATCAATGATATCTATCTTGGTGCACATGCGTAAGTCGTCAAGGTTCAAGGGTCATGACTGCTGGCTCCAACAGACTATGGGAGGTGGACTCAATTCCAATTTGGTGATGTGCAGTGCTCCATAAACTCTCACCTTCCACTATAGCTGATGCCTACCCCGCCGTAGCTCATCTGCAACTCCGCCGCGTTTCTTTCTGGCAGGCGCTTCGACGTCCGACCCTCGAAATACTCGGAATGTTTGAGACGAAGCAATGAGACCAAAGATACTTCTCGGTTTCCGGTTTTTTCGGGCCTGTGGCTCGAATCGTCTGAGGTTCCTCGGCCCGTCTCGGGCCCGAAGCGCCGCTTGGCTTGAGACTGGAGACTGGGGAGCCCAAGTACCTAGACATGGGGTTATTGGGTTTTGCCAGGAATAGGCTATATATTGTGGGGTTATGCTTGTTCTTGGAAGAGAGGAGAATTGCAAACTGTTTCCGTGCCGTCGAACTTGCAGACGAAGCCTGTTACGAGTCATCCGGTTGCAACGTTCGGCGCTCCCTATACTCAGGCATTTCGCATCGCGCGCCAGGCGGCTTGGCAGGGGGCGGATGGGCTGTCACACTGCTCAGGACCGCAGGATCAGATTTCTCTTTAAGTCAAAAGCAGAGGCCTTCAGCACCACGATGAAGCCTTCTCCGACCCTAAACCATCTAAACTCTACAAGTCTGAACTGAACCGGAAAGCCAAGAACGGGCTCTCTTGGCCAGGCAGCACCGGCCAGTGTGGGTAAGCCTGTGGGACACCTAGACCTGATTAAACCTGTGCCGTTTGCTCGACTCGAGAAGACATCAGGGGGACTGGAGGCTTCGTTCTCAGAGACTTGGGCTGAGAAGCCCCAGAGATCAATTGATGACTCGCCGTCTTGAGCTATTTCCTCGAAGTACACTTGTTGCCTGAGCTTATGCAGATGCTTCATTGCCACGAGCAGTCAACCTCAGGGCCTCCTTACATCCCGCACTGCCAACTTGCTGTATTTGGAGGCTCTCATTATCCGGCTCTGCTTCGGTGGAGGGTTTCCTGAGTTCAAAGGTCCGGGATGACGAGGACATGCTCTACTCGGAGGAGGATGAGGCCTACCGCAAGACATGACTGTCCAGACATAGCAACATTATCGTCTCCGCAGAGTCATCCTGACAGTAACCTTGTATACTTATGGAATCACATGACCGTTTGCATAGTCATCTTTTCGGAGCCTATTTTGATGGACATCTCGAAGCCGTGTCGGGGTGCTTTCAGACAGGTTATCTGAAGCCTCCACTTGGAGGAGACGGTGGACTTTGTAAGCAGGTAGCAAGTAGATTTATGAGTTTTCTGAGAGGCATCCTAGCTGCCGCTAGCATCAGTCCCCCGACCCTCCGAGCACCGCCAGTATGGCGACGAGTTCGACGAGGAGGAGGGTGACTACATGGAGTTAGATGGGCCCTGAGCCAAGAAGTTATAAAAATACCATGCGATGTTGTACCGTGCATGTGTTCTGAAGCTCTGCTGTTGTAAAGTCGGCCCACAGTTCGACCATCAGAGTTGCAAAGGCCTCCTCCGGAAGTCCTGGATGGCTGGGAGAAGGACGGTATGCCTGAAGTTTCGGAATGGAGAGCCCACCAGGGGCCTCCCAGACTTCCAAAAACGCATCGTGGACTCTTCGCAACAGGCAACAGTCTGAAGCCCTAAGCTGTCCCACACCCTAGGCTCCTCGAGGCCCTGACAAGCCCGAAGCCTGAAAGGCCCCAAGGCGAGCAGCTGGCATTCGCAGGATGAGATGGCCATGGCCCTCCTGGCGAACTTCCAGTCGGAGGAGTTCGAGGGCAAGGTGAGATCGTGGAAGCTGAATTCCGTTTTATTGTAGAGAGCTAGTGCTGTAAAGTGATGCTTTCGATGGAGGGTGACCAGTAACAGCAGGCGAGACCTTGCTGCATAAAATCTGTGGCTTTCCCTTGGCGCAGAAAGTGATGAGTTTCCGCGATGTGGCCATGCTCCTGGAAGTGCTAGGCAGGACACCCAAGCCAAGATGCACGGAGGGGGCAGCCACGTGAGTGTCCCGAAAAGGCTTCATCACCACTTAGCAAGCAGCCAAGCAGCCCCCTCATTGTTCGAACCGTCCTGTAGACGTAGCTTGTTTATCGCACTAGTTCACATGTGACCATATCGGAGCAGACTCAACTTTCTGCGCTGCATGTAACACTGTGTCTCATTGATCATTATGTCAACCTTAGCTGACTACTCGCTACACTGTCTTGCGTCTATTGCTCGTGCCACGCCTGTTGCAGGATCTCGGCTAGTGCTACACCTCGGCATGCGCAAGCGAGCGGTTTGAATGTGTCAAACTCGAAACACTGTCGAAGTTCCAAATCTCAAGCTTTCGAGCTCGACTGGCTGCTGGCCGCGGCCGAATTCGCTCTGCTCTGGAAGTTGAAAGTTAGAAAGGTCAAGGTTTGAGAGGTTCGAAATGTTCGAGCTTCATGCTTCGAAAGTTTCAATTTTCTCGACACGTTCGAAAGATCGAGAGTTTGTACGGCTTGAAAGTTGGAGATCGAGGGTTTGGAAAGTTAAAAGGCTTGGAGTGTTGAAATGCATCAAGCTCGAAAGTTTGACGATCCGCCGATTCCGAGCTTGAAAGTTTGACAGCTCTTGAAAGTTTGAAAGGCCGCAGCTGGTCCCATGTCTCAAACTCAACCCCTCATTAGGTGATGGCAGTAAAGATCATATGTTAACCCCGACCCCTCGTTAAAGGGTGGCACTTGATCTCATATCTTGCTCCCGCCCCCTCAGTAGGAGATCATACTTGTATCTCAAACCCCGCCCCTGACGAATGGCGATTAAGCTCATATCTCAAACCTGAAAGCGTTCGGTTTCATATTTCAACCCCCGATCAGGCGATTGCGGTTGATCTCATATCTTAATCCCGGCTTCTGATTTCCAAATTGTCTTGTCATGAGAATTAAGGTACGTATGACCGCCATTCAAGAAGGATGTTGTTGACGGTTGAGGTTCTTCTTGCACCAACTTTAAACCCTGGTTCCCTCATTCAAGCCAGTTCAAAAACGTTAGTTAGTACAAATTGCGCACTTTCAAAAAACTCAAACTATCGAAGTTTCAAGCTTTCACGTATTTCGTGCTCCGATCTCTCAAGCTCTGAAACTTTGCAGTGTTCGAACTCTCAAACTCCGTGCCTCTCCGCCTTTCTGACTATCGAAGTTTGACAGAGTCAAGCTTTCAAGTCTTTGATTAACTTTAGCCTTCGAGTCGTTCGATCTTTTGCTCTAGCGAACTTTGAAATTATCAACCTTTCCAACTTTCAGTTTCAGGCTCTTCAAACTTTTAATCTCCAACTTCTCAAACCAGGATTCCCGTTTCATCCAATGAAAAATCAATCTTCCCAATCTCGCTTTGATACGCTCACATTCTACAGCTCGGAAACCCCTACTCGTGACAGGCAGATTTCTGAAAGAGACTGAGCGAGAGAGAGCGAGCGGTATCTACATACATATATACAATATGCATGTGCACTTTATGTAGATAGTTGCCTAAGATGAATTTACAGAGAAGTAAGCACGCAGCTGCTGTTTTTTCTTGAGACAAAGCGCCCCGCTATGCCGAGGCCTGGAGCGAGAGCAGTTCGTGGCCATCTTCAGCGGCCAGGTCGGAAATTCACGAACAAACGCTTGTATGCACTTCGCCACCAGAGGATGTGTAGATAAGAAGATCTAGACGTCGGCTTTAACGAAGCATTAAGGGGTTTTTAGGACGTCAAGAGGTGCAGGGTTCCAAGAGGTTGAAATGTTTCACGCTCAGGGGTGTATTGCGGACGCTCTTGCCATCAAGTGGCACCATACCCTCCGGGCGAGGGACAACTTGCTTACGTCTCCAGAAAAAGCTTCGGAGGTCGGCACAGATCCGTGGACAAGCGAGCGACCAAACCAATGATCCCAGCCATAACACTAACACTGGCCTGAGTGTCAGCATCTGGACTGCACTCATACAAAGCTGAACTCAAAACCCTGACAGAGGAACGGAATCCTGAGTGAATACATCCCTGCAGGCAAGCATGCCGTACAGTACACAATGCGCACAATCGCCCTAACCTGTTCGGTTGTTCGGGGTCTCGGTTCTGGGGTTGAGTTCAAGGTTTACCAGTCTGGAAAAATACAGACAAGGTGATAATGTTTTGAGTGGACGCTGCGATTCTAGGGGTCCTAGGTTTGGTTTAGTAGCATCATCATCAGGGTAGCAGTCGAATCTCAAAAACAGTATGGTCGTAGAGCCGTGGAGGGCTGTGGTTTGAAGCGTTTGGGCGAAGCCAGGGCGGCATGGAAGATGAGTTTGACGACGACTTCCTAGATGAAGAGGAAGAGATGATGCTGAAGAAGCAGGCACGCTTCCAGCTTTCAGCCTCTGAGCGAGCCTTGCGGGAGCCGCCTTTCATTCTCACCGCTGACACTTCAAATTTCCCATGCTTGGGATAGTCATCCTTACAAAAACCCTGCTACTTCGTGAGCAGTCAGTGGGTTGGTAAGCCAGACGAGACTCATGAGTTGTTCCGTCCTGGATCAGTTCGAGCGCGGCTATGGTGGTGGAGGGCCTGGTGGCGGCGGCAGAGGCCGCGGTGGCGGAGGAGGCAGGTTCGCGACTGAATAGTTCTTGCGATGGAAGGGTGACTTCTGTGCAGTGTCTTCGGACACAGCACTGGCCCTAGCCTGCGCTGCCCGCGCTGCATCAAGATTCCAAGGGCCATGCAGAGACCTCTAACCGGCTGCACAGGCGGGGGTGGCCGAGGACGGCAAAATCACGGAGGCGGAGGCCGTGGAGGCGGCGGTGGAGGCTGCGGGCTGCGTGGTTTTGATATTGCTTGTCGGACGATCAAATGGTACTTGCAGTGTCACAGTGTGAACATAAGCTCACTTGCTGAAATCCATGGTGAAGCCTCACGCCCCGAGCTGTCTACACCATAGGTCTGTATGACCGAAGTGCTCCACAAGCAGGGCGCATGCATCTGCTGCAAGAAGCCCTAAACCATGAGCCAAAAACACCCCAGACCCTAAATAAAGACCTTTGTGTATGGGGATTTGGCGTTCAGTCTTCAAACAGGCTCCTACGTAGTGGTATTCCGACTAAGCAGGAGGAACACGCCCTCAAATCAAAACAGTCTTGAACTTTGAAACCATAAAAACCCTAAAGCCCCAGGCACCAGATCACCTGCAACCGCGGGATACCTGCTAAACCGACAGGACGTGGTCGAGGCCGACGACCCTGAGAGGCCCAAAGAGGCATGGGGAGAGGGTTACAAGGGTTTAGGCCTTTGGATTGAGGGCTTAGGAATTTGGGTTTAGGCCTTTGTGCTGGATGGGGAGATCAAAGAATTTCTCAGGTTTTCCGGGCAACATCGAACAGCACTAGATTATGGCTCACTGAACCAGTGAGCGCCAGTGCAATGCCTTATGTCAGCAATACTTTTGAGTCTGAATGGCGAAGGCCATATTGACTCAAACGACTGGTGTTACCGCACACCACTTCTGTGATTGAAAACTTTCCCTTTGCTCGCCTTCGCTCGCCATGGCCGCACCAGCTACCCCCACTGATGCTTGGACCATTGTTGAGGATTTTGCGGCAGCAAGGGAGTTGCGGAGATCGATCGTGCCACGCTCTTGGCGCGTTTGACAGCCGATCCTGATGACGGGGAGGCGGAGATCCTCGAGAACATCACCAGGCAGGGACGACGTTTTTGCCAAGCTGGGGGAGATGCAAAAGACCGTGGAACCTAGGTGAAGATGAGGCCAGGATACTGCGCACGCGGACCAGGTACTGGAGTGGCCTGAGAGCACGGTCTCATCTCCGCGCCTTTTCGGGACGCCAGAGTCCGCCCTGGACTGGATGAAGAGCACTTCCGCCGGGCATCCTCCTCTCAAACCCGAAGCATTAAGCCTCCGCAAGATTCACCAGATGGCGGCCAAGCGCGCTGCATGGACCGAAGGGTCCGGGGCCTTCCCCCTTTGAAGCCTTTGGCCCGGATGGGGGCGGTCCCCATCGAGGTTTTTCATGGGCGGAGCCTGCCATCTCTTTTGATCAGGCGCGGGCAGGCAGTCCGGGGCTTCTTGGCCCCGATTGGAAGGGGAGGTCGTCTCCTGGGACGTCCTCTCCACATGTTGGGAATCGAACATTCCCTCCGACAAGGATTTCGTGGGACTCCCATCGAGACGGTCATCGGAAGCGTCGTACCACATCAGCCGTTCGCGACAACTTACTGGAAATGACCTCGAGACTGGCGATGGATCCAGTCATCATCGATGCCGCGGACGGAGCAGCATCGATGCGGCGGAAGGAGCAGTGGTACACCGAGATCGACTTTGGTGTCGACTGGGAAAACGTCGAGAAGAAGCTCACACAATGGACGCCGTGGTCGTTGACGCGGGCATCGGATGACGAGTGGTATCTATTGCGCAATCCGATTTACCGTGAAGCACAACCCCCGATCCAAAAGAAGGGTTTCTTTTTGCCTATTTGTTTACAAGGCGGGACGAAGTTGTTTCGCTTGACGACACCTTCGACACAACCCGATGGTAGACCGACTCCACCTCGCAACAAATCACTGCAGCTCTCGACCGAGAGGACAAATCACCGATACCCGCCGTGGCAGTACGAAGAACAATTCTTGGTACAGTGGCTTGACGGCGCATCTTCTACAGCTCCCTTGCCTAAAAAAGGAGCGCATAGCAAGGATCTATGCTTTACCGGTGAAAGCTTCTGTTGTCTGTCTACGTGTGTGCGTGTATGTGTGTATATGTAACATAAGTGTAGGAATGTGCCAACATCTCGCTGTAAAATGAGTAAATACAAGGATATGTTGTAGTCATACATTGTCGTACATACATGCACACATACTTCTAGTGCGGATTGCGTCGCCCAGTGAGTGCGGGATTCAACAAGGCTTCCGCATCTTTCGACCCCCTGAATGGTTTACATTCGAAAACCCCCCTTCTCCCCGTTCTTTAAACAAGAGTGGAGAATCAGTGGAGAACCCCGAGCCGGGTGGGATGCCACGCTCGTTCAAAGTGTCGTAGATTGCTGCTGGTTTTCGTTGAGAAAAGCTTTCGAGCTCTGGATGAGGGAACGATCTGTCACGACGGTATGATTTGAAGACTCATGATTAGACCTGCAGAGCATTCTTCACATGATCAACCGATACTGCTATTGCTAGTACTCTGAGGATTATGACGCAATTGTCTTGTAGCGCCAGCAGAAATTGCACAGGCGTGGCCCATGCTCTTGTCTCACATTGTCGGAGCCCAAGGTGCGGTGTGCGGGTGAAGACGTTTCAAGCTACGGCTTTTGATGTGCAGCTTGTTTGAAGGTTATTATGTTTATGTATGAGACAGCAGCACAGCGCCTAGCTTTCTGAAACCTCATGGTTTGGGTGGTAAGGACATTCGGCTTCGAGCCTTCGCAGATTCATTCAAAGCACAGCGCGTGTCTACAGTTTGTGAGATCGAGCGGACTTGTTTGTGTCACGATCAAGTGCATATGGCAAACTATCGATTCCCAAATTGAATGCGCGCACCAGTCTACGGTAAGCAGCAAACGAAGACCCGAATCGTATGGCCACGGAGCCTAAACCAGGCTTCGTGATTGTCCCTTGTCGACAATCGCCCTTTGCCAGATCCGACTGGCAGTGATGCCAAACCTCCGACGATGTGATGCCCAGTACAGTGCTTTGAAGCCGACCATAAATGCCAAAGCGCAATCTGGAACAAATATACTTTGTCACGATATTTGCAGACAATAGTTGTGGACACTGTAGGTGTTGTGGGCACTGAGGGTAGGCTGATGGCATGTGGACGTAAGTTCCCAGTGGGTCCCGCATTCCGAAGTAGACGTCAGGCATGGACAGATGTTACAGGCATTGCCGCGCCAGTTCGGCCGAAAGGCCCAAAGCGAGTCTACAGTCTGAGTTCATAGCACTAAATGGCCTCATCGTTGCATGTAGGGCCTTGTAAGCTGGTAGTTGCGCACAAGTTGGACGAGCCGCCGACTTGAGTCAACACAGCTGACCAGAGGAGCAACAACAGACCTGTTCAGAAGCCGTGTCTTTAAGTTAGGGAAGTGCCCGTTTCCATGGCCGGGATGGTCAGCTGAGGTGCACAGGGTAGGCTTCTGCATGGAAAGATTGGTTGTTCTTGTCGCACAACATGCTGGTCCATGCTGGGCTTCAGCTGCATCCAACTTTGCCCCCCTGGCTACCAGAGCCTCGCAATGCTTTGCAGAACGCAGGTCCGTCGGCTGGTTCGACATGGACCGGCGGTGCTGCAGGCAGAGCACGACATTCTCCGGCCGCGAGAAAGGAGTGCATGGTACCTCTCTTGCCAGGATGACCCCGTCGTAGATCTGAAAGGCGGCAGATGTCCAGTGCCACGTGGGCCCCTGTCCCGACAGGCCATCAGGGTTCCCGATTGTCAGGAGCCACTAGTATTCAGCAAGGACCTAAGCACCCCTTCTAGAGGGCACGGTTCGGGCTCCTTGAGTTTGATGCAAATGGCAGCGGATGTTGGGCAGACTCTCTCTCCCCCTCTTTCTAAATATGAGTTTACATACCGATATCAATGGTATGTATATATATATATGTAGAATATATATATATGTATATCTATACATAATTTTCATAAATACAGAATAAGTAAATGAATAGATGAGTTGTTTTTCCATGATGTGAAACACTACGAAGATAAAACATACATAAATAAACAAACAAATGAATAAACAAACAAATAAGCAGACAAGTAGACTGCTGTGTATAGACATGTAGTTATGTACCTGTTTACATACATTCATGCATGCATGCATACATTCCTGCGTGCATACATACATTCATTCATACATGCATACGTTCATACATGCATGCCATGGCCACACGAGATGCGTGCGTCGCTGCTCAGGTGAATGCGCAGAAAAAGGTGGAGCAAGAGGCAGGCAACCGTGGGAGATCTGTGCGTTTTGGCAAAAAGAAGTGTCCACATGAGGCACCGCCGCCCCCGCCCCCCCCTCCCCACCACGAGTTGTACTTGTAGGTAGAAATAACGTTAATTCCGAACGGGGTAAGGAGTCCTAGAATCTTGACAGAATACTTCACAGGAACTGCAGATCGACCCAACAACATCAACAAGAAGCATCGTCGATCGATCTACAGCTTCATGCTGCTATCAGTGGATATTTGAATGCTTTCAGGCCTAGCACGACAAGGAGATTGTGATGGTAGGTAAGAGCATCATCCATTCCCATTCCTAAGATAGAGGCCGTGGGCATTTGGGGTGGAACTTGTGTTGTCTACGATTCCCATGAAGACATTCCTGACAGTTGTGCTTTGTTCAAAACGGATAGCACAGCGTTCGCCACTTCTATTGTGAGTGTGACGCTCATGCGCAGATGCGCATGATAATGCAAATCATCCCTGTACTCAAGAAGTAGGTGAAACCTTTCTGATCTGATCCTTACTGCGAGGACCTTCCAACGTGATGCCCCTAGCTGTTAGTGCAACCCCGCAAGAGGACATGAAATCCCACCTTCAAGGCTAAACCCTAAACCCTCGTTGCCAGATCTGGGCCCCGAAGCAAAATCCTGCGGGCACTGCCGGCCTTGAAGCTCCGCACTCATCCGACTGAGAGACTGGGAGGTTGGCTGAGTGCTTCTTTCAGGTACGAGTCCATCTTTTAAGTTCTGGAAACAGGATCCATCCGAAGTCACGATCGCGGGACTGAGCCTTTCTCCCTGCGGGCAGCGACTCCAGGAGGAGACGCTGAGGGTTTTTGGAGCAGTCTGAAAGCCGCGCTTCGTCTCAACGCGCCGGGCCAAGGCCTGAGACGAAGCGCATCGCTCGGATCCCACACGCGAGACACCCAGCTGCTAGCCGAGTGTTGTGCTGTACGTACAGGGTTTAAGAAGTTTAAGGTCTTCAGGATCCGTCCAGGGTTTAAAGGTTTAAGGGTTGGGGGGCTTGGTGTGGCTGTACGATGTTCATGAGTGGCAGCTAGAGCACCTGCGCCGCCACTGGAATGGCGAGGTCCGTTCATGACAGAGGAAAAGTTATCAGCTGCCTCAGCCTACATCAGGATGATCTGGTCGACTTCTTCGACTCTTCAGGCGCGCTGAGACAGACTGGATTGCCTCCAGAGTCGGCTGGGAAGGTCAGGGGCGAGCATCCATCATGCCTTGAGTTCGGGGTGCCGCTGAAATGGAGGAGAAAGCCAGAGTGATATTAGCTCTGCGCTTGATGCCACGGCAGTGCGGCCGAGACGTTGCCACTGCCATGCTTCGCAAGCAGGCCCGGAGCTGTGCACAGGGAGCCAAAAGCAGGTCGGGCAGGTGGCCGTGGGGGCAGCCAGGAAGCGGAGAGCTGAGCCGGCTGAGCCTGAACATGTCCTTGACCGCTCTCAGAGATGCCGGCGACGTCGACTCTATACTCTCCGTAGTGAACTTGCAGTGTCGCCAGCGACTCTTGCCCGATCGAGTAAGCTACAATATTACTCTCAGTGCCCTCGAGCGCTCCTCGCGTTGGCAAGCGGCTATCCGCATCTTTCAGCGGATGCGGGGAGAGGCGTCTCCCAATTTGATATCTTTCAACACCTTGCTGAGCTCCCTGGCTCGGGGCCAAAAGTGGCAGTCGGTTTTAGACCTCCTAAGTTTCGACGGTGCGCTCGTGTGCCTTCGCAGGGCACGGATAAGTCCTGATGCCATCAGCATCGGTACCGCCATCGCTGCCTGCGCTCGTGCAATCCGCTGGCCGGTGGCATTAATTCTGCTGGGTCAGCTAAACAGATTTGAGGAGAAGATCACAGTTACCGCTCGCCGGGCGGCCGTGACATCGGCGCTGTGGGCATGTGGAACTGCCTCTCGGTGGCAGCAGGGGCTGCACCTGCTGCATCCGATGATGCGAAATTCACAAGCTGATGCTTCCTTGATGGGAGCCGCAGTCAGCGCCTGTGCTTTTGGCCAAGCCTGGGAGCTGGCAATCGCCTTCCTGGCAGTGGCTGAGCATCGGAGCCTGAGCAACGTTGCAGTGCGCCGCTCGGCGATTGCTGCCTGCGAGTTGGAGAACTGGCCAACAGCACTGCTGCTGCTGGCGTTCCTGCAGAAATCTGGTCCTGACCCGGCGGGCGTCAGCTCAGCGATCTCAGCTGCAGCAAAGGCTGCCAGGTGGGAGCTAGCACTCTCCCTGGTGCAGATGCCATCACTCCCCTCCCCGGGCCTGCATGCTGCAGTTCAGGCTTTGGCACAAGCTGTAAGGTGGGCAGAGAGCTTGGAGCTGGTCCGAGAAATGCGCAGCTATCCCAGTGGCCTTTCGACAGCTGCCACGGTCGCCGTGGCCCAGCTTCACTCCCTCTTCTCGCGACTGGTGCGACGATTTCGCAGCGCAGCTTTTCGGAACTGGCATGTGGCAAGAGGCACCGCTGCCGAGGACGAACACTTGGGGAATCTGATGGATGCGATGGACCTAGCATCGTTCAACGGGGCCTCCGACATTCCAACTTTGCTGGCTTACAGCTGCCTTTTGGCCGTGCAGCGCACCGAACCCTTGGAAATCAGCCAGCTACATGCGGGTCCCTGCCTCGTGCGCTCCGCCATTGATCTGAACTTGAACTTTCCTGTCGAGCACTCTGCTTTCGCCCGCTCCGCTCGTCGCGAGGTCATCGAGGTATTTGCCAGCGCTGGTCTCCTTGCGGGAGATGCGTCCGCCAGTTCCCTGCTCGTTTGGCTGGCGTTCGAGGTCAGTATCTCCTCGGAACCTCGCACTGCTCGGTCTGTCGGACCAGGAGAAACCATGTTTTGCTTTGAAGTATGTCTGCATGCTCTCAAGTAGCGGATGCATCTCATGATTCTCTTGGTGTTGGCTTCTCTTGTTTCGCTTCGAGTCTTTGACTTTGTATGTTCCAGCTAGCGCTGCTTGCTGCGACATCTGAATCTGTTTCTTTGGGATTTGATTCAGAGGTAAAGCCAGTTACTTGTGAAAGCACCGGAAGCGTGGAGATGTTGCTAAATCAGACTTCGCACACAAAAAAGGCAGCAACACGTTCTGGAACCCCGACCACTCCCAGAGTCTCCAGGGCCTCCTCCCTCGGCCGAGATGAAGCGAAGCCAGCTCTTCCCAGTTGGGCTTCCGTGAAGAAGGCGCAGTCGGTAACCGCTTCGCACCAGAGTGTTCTAGAGGAAGCTGACCGGTTCCGTGAGAAGAGCCACACAATTCAGGTGCATGAAACTCGTAGCCTTGACGCCACAGGAGGACTTCTACCGCTTCGGCGTAGACTCTGCCACCACGCCGCGCATCATGAAGAAGTGTCGTGACAGCGCCTGAGACATCTCTTCGCTCGAGCTGATGGTCCGGTAATCCGAAGACCTCCAGTGACAATGTAGACCCTTGATTTGTAAACTATCTTCCTGAAGGGCTCGATAGTGGGACCCCCCTTCTCATTATCCCCTAAATTCAGCAGATTCGAGCTTGGCCCATCTTGGCCCCTGGAGTCGAGCCTCGAGTCAAAACACCACAGTCCGGAGTCAATAAATCCAAGGTCGCCACTTCGGCTGATCCCGACCAGGACATGCGAATTTGGATTCCGGTTTGCTCAGACTCGTCGTTTCCGTGCCTGTTGAGAGCACTAACCAAGTTGTGACGAGCAAAAAAGGCCTGCGCAGCGAGAAGCCCCGAGAGCCCCGTGCCACCGCAGGAGATGCCTGTGATGCGCCTCTTGGAGGCCATTCTGTCCGGATCTTGTCAGGGTCTGTTTGAATTCCTTCCACTGGAGGGCAGAATGTTGCAGGAAGAATCGAACTGTAAACCCTTCCCAGACGGGCTGTTAAGACGCCTCGAGCTCAAAGTGCATCGGGCCTCGGCTTTCTGCATGTGCGCCAGATCACTGGCAGCTGAGCTGTCCTGTCAGCCATGGCAATACTCTATAAGCCAGCCATGCACTCCAAAAAAAACCATAGCCTCGCTGAAGGTGGCTGTGGCGGGCGAACGAGGTGTGGAGAGGAGCTGGCGGGGAGAGGTTGGGCGTGCATCGTCAAGCTAATTAACTTACTCTTTACTCTGACCTAGCCATACACTAACCGCCCAATTAATCCATCGTCGAATGCAAGCCTCGCTGGGGCGACGCTGAAGGTGCTGTGGGCGCTGAGGGGTGAGGGGTTGGGCCTGCCATTGGCTCGAATTAACTTACTCCTATTCTAAGCTAGCTATACACTCCCAAAAAACCATTGTCGAATGCAAGCCTCGCTGAAGGTGGCCGTGGCGGGCGAACGAGGTGTGGAGAAAGGCTAGAGACCTGGAGAGTTTGGCGGGCGGAACGGCGCTGGGAGTGTCGAGGCCTGAGAAATTTAGCTTCTGCGCGCCGGTCCCTTTGAGGGGTCGGCAGATATAATAGATATATATATATATACAAAAAATAGATCTTCAAACATCTTCACTTCAAAGAAACAAGGACAAATCTTATTTAATCTGATTTGGATTTCCGATTCTTTCTAACACGACTTTACTTCCTAGGTTTCTTTTGGAATAGGGGGAATTGAAAAAATACCGGTATATTTTTCGTTCGGGGAATCGAGGCAAAATCTTGGAAATTTTCTGGAAGTTCTATTTCCTATCTATGAAAAATTATAAGGTCGGCCAAATGAGGTAGGGTGTCTAAAGAGGTGCTCGTATAAATAAATTATATAATTAATCCAAATATTTTATTGAGGTATATTATTATTAACTATTTTGATCTTTTAATTTTTTTGATGAAATAAAAAATCGTTATTTTTTTGGCGTCGTTATGATATTATTAATGAGGAATAATAAGATATATTATTTCTAGATAAATAATTCTGATTTTTTTTCGTGGAAAATTTCCCTTATTCTTGGAATTTTGGAATATATCTTTTTATTTTTCTGTAAAGAAGCTTATTATTAAATGTTATAATTAATAGAATATATTTATATATTTTAAATACATAAGACCTAAAAGATTTTTCGTATAGATTTATTGTAGTCGTTTCAAATAGGAGGTTCTAAATATAATTCGTTATTCGTTATAATCTCTTATAACACGGAGAAATTGAATTTTTATTTCTTCTTCTAGATTACATTAAAATCTATTTATAAATGCTCGATATATTTTAGATGATGCGTTTATTATTTATAGATTAAATGGAAATAAATTAAAGCTGGGGGCATATTTTCCTGACTTTTTGGCTATGATTAAATATTATATTTGTTCTTATTAGTATGATGATTGATATGTCTCTAAGTGGAGATTTGTTATTATATCTATTTTTATTGGGGAAGTATCTTTATGAGCTCGCTTAGAAGCTTTCATGTGTTATGCTGGCATAGCACTAAGCCAATGGCAGCATACCCTACTCGGGTAAATATATTTATTCGATTGAATGCGGGGAATTGCTGGCGATTTTTGTTAATCTTGCTTTTGCTCTAGGAGAAAGACTGATTCTAAGAAGGGGCAATACCGCTATTAATGACGCTTAACGGAAGTGCGCTGTTTGCTAATTGAAAACTATTCTAATTCTCGTCAAATTTGATCGTTAAATCATGTTTGTAATTTTTGCGTGATTTTCGGCCCATTAATATTGGGTATTCGTAAGAGAATAATGTTCTGCAACCAGCTTGATATTGTTTGTTGGTGCGAAACCCACTGCTAGAGCTTTTTTCGCTTGTTCATGCTCTTTTGTTATAAAAATGGACTTTTGGAGTTCCATCCCTTTATGAGTATGTGTGTTTGTATGTGCATGTAGTATAGATTGAAGCTTCTCCACAGAAATGGAAAATTTCGTCACTGTTATAATCTTCTAGAATAGGGGATTTCGATCGTATATTTCTTCTTCTCTAGAGATTATTATAAACTGTTAGAATAAAAGAATAGAATATATTATTGAATCTCTTAGAATTCGTTTTAATCTTCTCGAGTAGTTGTGCTCGTGTGTGTGTGTGTGTGTGTGGGTGGGTGGGTATTTTTTGTGAGTGTGCGCGTATGGGTTTGAATGGATTTATTAGTCTCTCGTGGCGATAATTTTTATATCTATATCTTGTCGTGGGAGATACGACGAAGGCATATAGGAGAAGAAGATGACGGAATAATTTCTATGCAAGCAGAGAGCCTTTTTTCTTTTCTGTATTTACTAGATCTATTCTCTCGATATTAATTTCTCTTTCTATTAAGATATATATTCTAGTATAGGCAATATAAATATGAAATTTGAATTCCTTGTCATCGGACTTATTATCTTGAGAGCGATTTATTCTTCTAATTAATATTTTGATATTGGGGATGAAAGACAAATTATTGCCGTAATAATAATATATATTCTATATTTATTAATTTCATTGCCCAGAAAATTATGAATTTCATTTTTAGAGTAATTCCAATTAATCCAACTAAATCAGAAGACAATAGTATTAATATCATCATCTGCGAAAAATATCGTCAATCAAATTAATATTATCTAATATAGAATCAATTTAAGATCAGAGTCAAGAATTATTAATATCTATACTTTTGAAATATTTATCGAGGCAAGAGAACTATAATATCTTTATATTAATTCAAAATCGTATCGAATAGCAAGATTTAACATCTCATAAGATCCAATCAATTGATATTCTTATGAAGCTCTTATTAAATATAATTAATTTCAAGAAAATTCTTAAGATTATAACTTTATAATATCTCTCCAAAGATTTCATGAATTATAATGAGATTCATATTCTTCGAATCTAAATAACGATATATAGATTTGAAATTTGGTCTTCAAAAAAATTCTTTTCATTGAAATCTTTTCAAAATTTTTTATTATGAATATTAATAATTAAGCTCAGAAATTTTGATCTCAATCGTCGATCATAATCTAAATATTATATTCCCGAACGAATGGCCCGGCTAATAATCTATTTATATCTTTCGACATACAACGAGAGAATCTGAATAGACATCTAATATATATATATCTCTTATCCAGAGTTAATATAGCTTATCTAATACAAATATTATCGAATAGAAAAATATTTAAATCTACGCCAAATAATCTAACCTACATCCAATCAGTTATATAAAATTATCATTTTGATAGTGCTCTTATTATGAATATTTATATTAATATCAATCAAATCAATCATTATTAAGATTATAAAATATCGATAAAGAATCAAAATAGTGACCTTATCGAAAAGCTTCCAAATTAATCGCCGAATATATAAATATATTGAGAAATTCAAATTAAGCTGTATATTATTTCATAAATATATCGAACCACTTCTCATTCGATTAATTGCCCATCATACGAACGAATAAAATACTAATAATATCATATTTCTAATTCTAGTAAATTATAAGAATATACAAAAGTAGAAGAATTCTATGAGCTGATTTCTAAGAATATATATATATATATGCAATATAATAAAAGCTGAACCAATTAATCCATAGATCTAGAAATTAACATAAATATAATCAAATCAAAGTTCATTATGTTCAGAAGATATAATCTTTTTGATTTTTGAAAATTTAAGTAATAATATTAAATATAATTTTAAAAGTATATGTTTATATAACTAGTTTTAATTATATAAAAGAAGAAATATAATAACAAATCAAATTTCAAAAGAATAAGAATTTCAAGAGATTCATATCAAAATCAATCATATCCATCTAAATATTCGATTCCTTAAATATACTCTCGAGACGAATAATAGCAAAATAATAATATACGTCTCATTCATAGACATATAACAAATTTAGCAATAAGAAGAAATACAAGAATTAAAGGACCGGATAACCCCACATGTGTATTTTAAGCATCGACACGAAACGCAAA